GTACAAGGGGTTAGTGTGCCCCAAACCTTGGGGGAAAATTTTTTTTAACTAACTGTTCTTGTGTACCATCTCAGTAAAAAGAGCTTTGCTAAAAACTAATTGAGGCTTTTGGCTGATAATCAATGGGAAACACACTAGTGGGGGCTCATGAGGGACAGTATTAGAAATGCTAGCCCCTTGTGGTTATTCTTAGAAGGGAGGGAGTAAGTAGTAGTTAGCTTCTAGGGACTTCCAAGCCATAAGTGATGGTTTAGGTTGGGGAGAACGACCCCAGAGGTGGTGATACATATCCATTATTCTCTCCTTCCCCTTCCAGCCTTCCTTCCCTCACTTCCTCTTTTTCTCTTCTGTCCCTGTTTAAATATGACTACAGTGAGGGATGTGGGTCAAGGTGTAGAACCCCATCCTGAATGTATTCAGCTTGTCTTATTTTCTAACCTCATCAACCTTGCCTCTCCTTTCCTCCATTCTTGCTGTTCCTGCTGCCATTTCCCTTGCCTTGACTGAACCATTAGGGCTCACTTTCACACAGATTTGTGAAGCATCTAAAATTATCTAATGGCATGATAATGTCCAATATTCCCATGTGACAGAATGAGGAATTTGAGGTCCCAAGTAGGGAAGGGGTTCCCAAGGTCATAAAGTGAGTCTGGGGCAAAGCAAGGACTAGAAAGCCAGGTCTCCTCACTTACAGGGCAGTGCTCTGTCCATCACACCAGGGTGCTTCCCCTGTATCAAACCAAGTCATGTTTTGGGTCTTTTCTCCCCTGTTTAGACCACAAGGGAGGCGTCTTGTTTCATTCATCTTTGCGCTCTCCAGTGTAGACTACAGGACTTTTCATGGAGCAGGCATTCATAAGTGTTTGACTAAGGGTGAACATTTTTACAACTGAGCTTCCAGCATCGAGTGCATGGTTTGAAGTGCGTTAGGAGTTTTCTATCTGAACCACAAATACACCTTAGCTCAAAACTAGCTCTAGTCACTCCTTAAAGTCATCAATTCACTTCTTGGAACATGGGAAAGGAATCATAAACTTTAGAGATGGGAAAGATCATAGAAGTCATTTAGTCCAACCTTTTAATTTTACAGATGAGGGAAATGAGGTTCTGAGAAGTTAGGTGGTCAAGGTCATACAGCTGGGCTAGGATTTGAACCCAGGTCCTCTGACATCCAATTGAATGCTCTGTCCAATCTATCATGCTGCCTCTCTAGGAGTTCCCTTTGGCAGGATTATAGTATTGCTTTGTGACTTCAGTTGGGCCTCTGAAAACCATTCTAATCCTCAATGCTGGAATTTCCTGTAGCCCATGAGGAAGGATAGAGTGATGACATCCCATCCTGCCATTCTAAAACCCATAGGTATTACATTTCTGTCTCATCCCCTGAAGAGATGTTAGGGAGGTAAAATCCTGTAGAAAACTACCTGCTGATAGGGACAGTATAGTGGACTTGTGAATAGATGGCATCTCAAGGGAAATGGCCTCGGAGAATTCACTAACACACTTCATATTAATTAACAGGGTCACATTTGTAGTTAGGTTGTAGGGATGGGAGAAATTGAGTTTGCAGTAGTAACAGCCAAGAGCCCTGCTAGCTTCTGCCCTGGTCAGAGCCCATCTGGAGTTCTGTTTTCACTTCTAAGGGCATTCTTGAAAGTCTTCAAGAAAAGGCTGGGTTGGGAGAGTGAGGGGATCAGAGACTAAGCCACTGAAGATCGATTGAAAGATGAAGATGTTTAGGCTGAAGAAGAAAAGACTTAGGAGGCAAATGAGACCAGAATTGGTAAGCTCTGGCCCTAGGGCAGAGGCTGCTTCTTTGCCCTGTATGATACTTCCTTTTGGGTGTGGCCAGCCCTTGGTCCACTGCTCTGGAGAGCTGGGGGTGTAGTGTTGAGTGTCAGAAGCCTCCTAATGTTTCCTGGTCTTGACTGGGACAAAGGAAGATAACAAATTTCATTTCTAATATTTGTTGCTTTGATAGGGAGCAGCATCTACCTGGGAGCTTTTAAGAGGCCCTCCCTTGGTAACAAATCTGCAAACACTTAAGTGCACCTGAGCATTCTAAATGACCCCCTGCTGCCTCTTTCTACAAAGTGATGCATCCTTTTGTTCAGGAAATAACCCCCAGGCGAGGGAATCTGTTTTGTGAATTCTGGTTTGCTACCTGGTGGGTTTTGTGGAAACGTCAACACCCCAGCTCAGAAATGGCAGCCAGCAATTCCTCAAGAGTTCTTGAAGCCAAGTAAAGGCCTTCCAGTAGGTAACTGCAAGGGACACTTGCATATGGTATCACATTCCAGATTGGCAGGCTTGCTGTTCCTGAAACTCTGCACTCAGTGCCCAACATCTGTGCTTTTGTAGTGTCTTCCCCCATACCCAGATTCTCTCCCTCCTCAGCTGCTCCCTCTTAAAACTGCTTGCTTTCTTCAAGGGTCAACTCACATGCCATTTTCCTTATCCTCTCAGGAGTTAGTACTCAACCTCCTGTTTACAGGTTGTATCCCATCAGTATAGTGCAAACTTTTTGAGATCAAGGACTGTTTTCTTTTTGTCTTTTTATCCCCAGCACCTAGTAAAGTGCCTTGCATAATATTTGTTAGATTAGAAAGAGAAGCCTTGTTGATGGCCCGTCTCCCTTTCTTAAGCCTCCTCCCTTAGCCAGAGGCCCTCCATTCCATTCTTCCCCCACTCTCCCACACACTCAAATTCCAGCTCTGGTCTTCTCTCTGCAGCTCCTCTCAACACTCCCCTAAGTTTGGTGATCCTTCATAGCAGCGTAAGCATGGAAGACCACCTTTGGATTTTGAGCCTGATACTAGATAACAAAACTCAGTACTGGTGGTCACTGCATGCATGACCTTGGCAAGCTTTCTCCTTTCCGGATCCCACTTTGCTCTTCAATAAAGTGGTGTGTAAAGGAGGGAGTTGGATTAAATGATCTCTGTGATCACTTCCAACTCCAGATACTGCATCTATATTTAATCTAGAACCCATAAGATTAAAAAAAAAAGAATAAATTTTTTATGATCTTTTCAGGTATAATGGAAAGGCTGATAGTGGAGGTGTTTATCAAAACATGAAGTTGACTGAATTCGTGTGCCTTGGCTTCACTAGAGCCACAGGATAGGAAAGACTGGCAAGTGATTGTCACAGGGTTTAGAGTTGAAAGGACACTTGAGATCAATATAGGTCATAAGTGTAGACGCAGACCTAGAAAGGACATAAAAGATCATCTAATCCAGCTTCCTCATTTTGCAGATGTCTGGCCCAGACAGACCATGGGCCTTGCCCAATGTTCCACAAGCAGTAGAGTTGGAATCTGCATCCAAATCACCCAACTCCTAATTTGATGCTTTTTCCCCCTATAACACACCAACCATTTTGTAAAAAGGGAAATTGGGGTGTAGAAAAGGGAAGTTATTTCCTTCTTGTCACTAATGAGAAAGGGGGGGAGGGAGAGAGAGAGAGAGAGAGAGAGAGAGAGAGTTAGAGTTCATCCAATGGACTGGAGAGTTTGGCTTAAAATAGCTAAATAAATCTTTAATATTTCTAATTGTAAATGTACATAAATTGCACAGCCACATGGAATTTCTGAACACCAACACCTTTCTCTGTACAATATTACATAGTTTAAAAGTCAAGACTGGAGAAACTCCAGGCAACAGTTCAACTTTTTGCTTTTTTTAAACTTTTTTTTTCCTTTTCACATACTTACAAAATGGAGGTGAGCCTGTTTTCATTTTTTCTTTATAAGAGTCTCTAGAAAACAGAGTGAGGCTGGGCTTCAGCAAATAGACAGAGGGAAGGAAAGAGGTATATCTTAGGAGTTGGCGAGATGCTCTGTGGGGATTTAGGGTTGTGGAAGGTGACATCTTCACCATATCTTCTGAGAAGTTGGAGAAAGGATGGTCATTCACAAGAAATTAGGCAGTTAACTGAGAAGAAAAATTAAGCCCCTGTCCCCTTCAAATGACCTTGGAAAATGCGATGATTTCTCGTTTATTTTTGGCTTATCAACAGCAGGGTCTCCAGGGACAATCTGTTCTTCATCTGAGCTCTGTAAAAACCACTGGTGAGGGGTGGGGAGGTGTTTGCAGCAGTTGGGCCCAATAGCTCTCATAGGGCAGGGACCATTTATTTAGCTCTACCATGGCTGGTGGGAGAGAACATTTTGGGCTCTCCTGCCTTCCTCTTAGCTGGAGGTATTTGGTTCCTTGGGGATATTTTTTGGTTAGGTGTGTTGCTAACCTCTGCCATGGTCCTAGGACCCTTCATGGAGGCCATCGATGACTCATGGGGGAACAGCAGCGTCCTATCCGACAGGTCTGGAAGAAGAGGTTGATTTCCCTGGGTAAGGTTCAGTTTCATTTGGCTTCCTCCAGCCCTACCCAAAACTGGCATACCAGTTTCTCTACATCTGACCTCCTGGAAGGGAGGATGAGTAGGAGCTCTTCAGATTAAGAGGACTCACCTGGGCCATGCCAGGAAGGCCTGGTAAGTCCAAGACTCTTAGGACCATGACTCCTGAGGAAATATTCCTGTGGGGATGGGGCCTGTGGCTGTGATTGTCAGTGCTATGTGACAGCCCCTCAGATGGTGCCTTATCCTGAAAAGGCAAAAGCATGGCCCTTCACAGAGCAGATTGGGTCCATTCCCCCAGTTAAGCTCTCCCGGAACCAAATTTAAAAAAAAAAAAAAAAAGCTAGATCCTATTTTCAGCAATATTCTGATAACCCGGGGAAAATCTTTTTGTTCCAATCCCATAAATTACCAATCCTAGGAGTTTAGTGCTAGGACCTCAGAGGTTATCTCTTCCAACCTCTTCATTTTATAGATGAAGAAACTGAGGCCTAGAGAAGAAAAGTGACTTTCTCAGTCACACAGCTAGTTAAGGGGGCAGAGCTGGGATTCAAACTCAAGTTTCTTGATTCTAAATCTGGAACTTCCCACTATACCACAGCTGTCTCCAATCAACTCAAACTTAAAAAAAAAAATCCCAACCCTCCTACTGCTCCTCAACTCTGTTTTTTTTTAAATGAGGGAAAATAAAAAATAAAATTCCAAGTCATTCTACAAGCAGCTGCCCAATCCTGTCTGCAAGGCAGCACCAGGCGCGAATCACTATATACAGCTGATAGTGAAATAGTTACATTACAATCAAACACCGAGAGAACATTTACAAAAAAAGTTGTCAGACTTGCATTAAGATAAAAATCGGTGGACAGTCTGTACACTTTACAGTTTTTGCACCAGATAAGGCTCTCGCCATAGAGAGCATTAGAATGAGCGAGCAGGTGACAAATGTTATATATAGTGGTCTTCAGTCCCTTGTTGACTTTCTCCCTGGCTGTGGGGACTTGGTCCCCAGTATTGCTATGAGACACACATTTCAGAAACAGAAACTGGGGGTAGAGGAGGTGGGGAAGAAGATAAATCTTTTCTATTTTTTGAAAACAAAAGGAAAAAAAGAAATGGAGTGCTTATAAATATGGGTATAGAGGACCAGTCTGTAATTGGTAACTAAATATTATGATGGGCAGGAAATTAAAAACAAAAGCCCCCGCCTAAGGGTGTCTGAGTTCCCCACATCTGGCATGGTTTCTCAGATGTATAGGTAGGGCCAAACTCAGTGGCTTGAGGTCCCCCTGTAGGATGAACGGGGTAAAGAGGCAGTGAAGGGCAAAGACAGGGGACAAGGATGCTATTCAACTTCCAACTCAATCAGCAACTCCCCTCTTCACACAGGGCTGAATTTCTTCCCACAAAGTTCACCCAAAGACTCTTGTTTATTGGAGAGCTTCCCCCCAACCCAGAATCTCCTGGGGAGTTGGGGAATGGGGAAGCACATCTCCACCCCTAATGCTTATTTCCGATCATCTCATCTTCTAACTAGACTACCATCCATCACAGGATGAGCCTCTCCAGCCCTGACCAAATGAAATGGAATTAAATCAGTTTCATGGAAACATTCCCCCAAGGATCTCTGCTCCTTCCCCAAGCCACCATTTTGGCAGAAATCTATTGGTGGATTTGAGTCTTGGAGGAATTTGGAAATGGTAGTTTCTGCTCCTAATGGTCAAGAGTACCCTGTTATTCCTAACCTTCCTGCTACATGGATTTTCAGTGGCCTTTCTGAGGGATGCTTTGTCTTGATTTCAGGCCCTTCTCCAAAGCTAGCTGATTTAGTTAGTAGGGAGAGTACTCAGAGCCTGCTCCCTGCTCTACCACCTGAATTCTGATTTGGGAAAGGGGGGTGGTGGTCTGACCACATCAGGAATGCAAAAGGCATTCACAGCTTGGGGAAGGGGAAAAAAAGCAGAGATTTCTAGGGACCCAGCATGCCAGCCCTAACTGGAATAATTGAGGTCCTGGGGAAAATTAAGTTGGAGGGGAAGAGTTGAGGTTTTTCACCTTCTCTTTGGCTGGTTTCTTGGACCAGCCTCTGCAAGGATATGACAAAGAGAGACCTGGTCTGCAGCATGGAGTTTGTGGGCACTGAGTTGGCACTGGCAACTTGGCTCTGGCTAGAGGCAGGACTCAGTGCTCCATCCACACCCCCTCATTGGTGGACCTGTTCAATATGACTGCTCAGTTGAGCCCCCTAATATGGGTCAAAAAAGATCTCTTCCCAACCCTGCCTCCAAAGAGCTGTCCTGGCTAGACTTTCTCTGACACAGGATGGAAGGGGACAGCACCAGAAGATCCTGACTTTGAACCACAACACACAAGAAAAGTAAAAACAAGAACAAAAAGCCAGCCCTGGCCCTGGACGTGTGGGTCCCATGGGTCCGGGACGGGGTGGGGAGCAGGAGAAAGAGCACAGTCCGGACTGGCCAGCGGGCTGTGTGCACGGGGGGCCTGCCGGCTCCTTGCTGCTGTTCCTGTTGGGTGATCATGTTTAACATCCTTCAGGGCTCTTAATTCCCATGTAGTGCGTGCGCTCAATTTAAAGGGCCTGTATTCCAGAAAACGAGCGGGTTTTGTTTCTAATGCATACTGTGAAAGGAAAAAAAATTACAATTACCAATCTCCTCCTGGGCCTCTCCAGTACTATGATTATTATTTACATCATTAATTATTTCTCTTCTCCAGTTAGCTCATGGCTCACATACTCCCTGTAAGAACCTCTTAAATAAAGCTGGTGGGCAGAGGAACACTCTCTGGGACTCACTTAGACTTCCTCCAAGAAATACATTATGGCCCTTCATGTAGAACATTAAAAAGGGATACTACTTTTCCTGGGGCTTGAAGACCCACTTTTGGGCTTCCTTATAGGATAGCCCAAAGTCTGGAGTCAAGGGCATACATAGGGTTAACAGGTAGAAGGAACCTTAAGAGATCAAAGTATCACAAGGGACCTCAGAGACCAACTGATTCAACCTTTTCATTTTATAGACAAGGAAACTGAAGAGAAATTGTGACTTGCCCAAGGTCACCTAGGTAGTGAGAGCTAACAATTTGAACTCAGGTCTTGGAATCACAGATTTAGAGCTGGAAGGGGCCTTCAAGGTCATCTAGTTCCACCTCCTTATTTGACAGAAGAGATGAATAGGGCCAGAGACATTAAATTCCTTGCCCAAGGTTGCACAAATAGTAAGTGGCTCTCGACTCCAGATTCTGCAGTCTTTTCCCTACTCCATCCACTTCCTTTTCATCTGCCTCCAGGATACTGTTCCAGGAATGTATGTCACTGGAATAAAAGTGAAAAAGGGCCTTAGAGACCTGATTCAACCCATGCAGTTAATAGATGAAGAGTCCCAGAGACAAGGAGGGATTTGCCCGAGGTCGCAAAGCTAACAAGTAGGAGAGCAAAGATTTTAGCCCAGGACCTCTGACACGACTGTACTGTTTCCCAGGAAGCAGCTTTCCTTTTGTGGCTTTCAGGTCTTCACAAACTGGAATAAAATTTTTTAAAAGTGCTAAATTTCCTTGTGTGGGGTCTATTTAACCAGCGGTAGGAGGAAAAAAAAAGTCAGCATGGATGGGAGGAAAACAGGACAGGAGATGAAATAAATCTTCTTTCTTTGTTCCCCTTGCCAAGAGTGTCTGAGCCAACTTTCCACCTCGGTTTACTGTAGGTCAGTTAAATCAGCCTTGGCCTGAGAGGCCTTTAGTGAAGGCTATGCTCCACAGTGGATTCACGGGTAGACTTAAAAAAAGGCTAATAAGTTATCACAGAAGCCTACAACACTGGGTGGGGTCTGGAGTCTCGGGAACTTGGGTTAGGGGGAGTCAGAAGGGGTATGGGAGCTTTCCCCCTTTCCTATTTGATTGGAAGGGATGAGTCACTTCCTTTACATGCTTTCTTCCATAGTTCTCTCTAGTAGTTGACCTTCATTATAGCCTCCTAGTATAACTAAAAACAAAACAACAACAAAAATCCAGTTGTTACTGGAGTAAGGACAAAGGGTAATAAGTCTCTGGCTGGGCCTTTCCCCTCCCTGCTCCCCTTCCATATCACACATGATAGATACTATGGCAACCTCTATCAAGGAGAAACCTTTGAAAGACTCCAAAGGGGGATGGGTTGTCTCAGGAGGTCCTTATCACTAAAACTCTTCAAGCAGAGACTGGATGATGACTTAAGAAAGTGAAGAGAGGTTCAGAGATTAAATAAGATGATATGGAAGGTCCCTTCCAACTTTAACACTCCTCTGGACTTTTTATGGTTTGGCCAAAGGCCCAAAGAGGTCAAGGATCATCAAATTTTGGACCCAAGGGTACCCGGAAGGGATCTTAGACATTTTTACATGCATTGGTAGAGGCGAATGAGGGAGTAGGTTTGCCTACTATGGATCTGTGCTCTTGGTATCTTGGAGCAAACTCAAAGAAATCATTAAATGTCCTTGTGTGGGGTCTATTTGGAGACCAACTTTAAGGAGAGGGGAAAGAAAACAGGATGGAGACATGGGGAACAGGGCTAGAAGTGAAGAACTCTATTTGCTGCTTCCTTTTCAGCTCAGTGGGAACCACAGAGGTAGACGCTCCACTGGGTGGGTAGCTCTTCAGGAGCCCCCTCCTATATGAAAGTACCAATTCCCCCACAGAGGAAAGGAGCACACTGTCCTCCAAGCTTTTAAAAGCAGAGGGGAGAGGCTTAAAAGTTCTTCATCCTGGAAAAGAGAACTTGGGGTAGGTGGGATGGGGGTGGGGAAGCATAATTATTGTCTCCAACAGTCTGAAGACCTACCACATGGAAGAAGGATTAGACTTATTTGGCCTGGCCCCTGAGGGAAGAACTGGAAATACTAGGGGGGAAAGCTACAGAATGGCAGATTTGGGCTCACCAGAACTTTCTAACAATCAGAACTCTTCAGCAATGGAATGGATTGCCTCAATAGATAGTAATTTCCCTATCGCAAGCAGAGGATATGTGCTTACTTCTCAGGGATGTGGTAAAGGGTATTCCCGTTAAGGTATGGGTTGGACTAGGTAGCCTCTGGGGTCCCTTCCAACTCTGCAATCCTATGGGCTTATCTTTCGTGAACTGTCTTCCATTTTAGGGCTATTCTGCCTAAAATAACTAGGACCCACCTTCTAAAATCAAAGCACTCTTCCCTGGGCAGTGCTAGAGCAATACTGATCTGGGGGAGGTGGGGGAGGGGGCAGTCTTGGGGGTGGGGTTGCAGTGAATCTTGATTTCTTTACCCTCTCTCTCCCTTACAGAAATTAACCGAAGCATTATCAGCCCCTGTGAGAATCTGGAGATTTGTCCAGCTCAAGAAGAAAAAGGGAATTGGTTTAAACATTTACACATCAAAAAAAAATCCACCAACAGTGACACTTTGCAGTTTGGTTTTCTGGTATTTTTTTTTTCCAAATATAACATTTTTTTCCCTTAGGCCATACAACTCCCACATATGTCTTTTTTTTTCCACCTTCCCCCAAACACACGGGCTTTAGCTTCTTGGGGAGGGGAGAGGAGAGGGAGGAGGCAGTGCCTTCTGCCCCCCAGTGCATCAGTCACACACGCTGGCTCCTATCCCGGCTGGCCTGGTGTCTTGGGGGGAGGGAGGGGAGAGATGAACCATTGTCTGAAGTGGCTGTCGCTCCTGCTGCCCCCGGTGCATTGGGCTGGAGATCTTGGGGTTTTTATTTCTATATTTTACTTCTGTCTCCTCCTCCCCCCGGGCCCAGCGGCAGTGGCAGCGCTCCTCCTCCCTCCGAGTGAGTTAACAATTGCTGCTGTTTCTGAATTCGCCATTCTCTGTAATCTGCAATTTGGTTGGGTTTGTGGGGGAGATGCCGTTACGGGTCTGCATGCTGTACCTCTCTTTCAGCTGGGTCAGGGCGCTCATGAGGCGTGCATTGGCTGCATCCAGTGAGGCGATGCGTTTTTCCTGTGAATGACAGAGTAGCCGAGGGAGGAGTCACTGGGGAGGGGTGGGCTTGGAATACTGGCTCCTTCCCAATGTTCCCCGATATGGCCTGGCTTTAGCTCAACAGGCCTATAGGTTTCTAAGTAGGTTCAACTTTTTCAACTCAACTTTTCCATCCCAGGGTTGGGGAGGTCAGGGAAAAGAAATGAAATTATAACTCATCTCTGAAGTGGTCTGTTCACTCATTGATCTACAGAATGTTAGTGATGTAGGGCACCTTTAAAACAAAACACCTTTAGACAACTCCAAAACTAAGCAGTCAATCTCACCCAATTCATAGATGAGGAAACCAAGGCACACAATGGGCGAGGGAGTTGTTCAAGGTCACATAGCCAGTTAATGGCTAGTTAAAGGCTTTGAACCTAGTTACTGATGAATTCAAATCAAACGTTCTTTCCATTAGTCTATGGTGCCTTTCAATTCTTTTTGGGCATTCTGTCTGACTACTCCTTCTCAGACTCCTTTGATGACTCATCACCTGTATTATGTCCCTTAACTATGAGTATTCTCCAAGGCTCTGTTCTGGATCTTCTTCTAACTGTATATTCTCTTGATGACCTCATCAGCACCCACGGATTTAATTATCATCTCTATGCAGATGGCTTCACACATCTATATATCTAGCCCCAGTTTCTTCCCTAAATGTCACTCCTGCATCACCAATGGTGTCCCACAATTACCTATTGGCCGTTGCAAACTAGATGTCCTGAAGACATCTCAAGCTCAACATCTTAAAACTGAACTCATTATCTTTCTTCCCTCTTCACCTCACCCCTCTCTTCTCTATTTCTTTCAAAGGCACCACCATTCCCCCAGTGTCCCAGGCTGTAACCTCAGCCTTATCATCTTCTCACTCTCTCTTATGCCATATAGACAACCAGTTGCCAAATCTTGCTATTTCTTTCTTCACAATAATTCTTGAATCTGACTCCTTTTTTTCCCACTCACACTGCCTTAGTTAAGACCCTTACTACCTCTCACCGAGATTACTGCAACAGCCTCCTAATTAGTCTACCTGCTTTGTCTCATCACTTCAGTTTATCCTCCATAGTGCTGCCAAAGTGATTTTCCTTATGTGAAAATCTATCCATATCATTCCCCAATTTAAGAAATTTCGGTGACTCCCTTTTGTTTCTAGGATAAAAAATAAACACCTCTGTTTAGCTTTGAAAGGCCTTTACAAGCTTCATTTCTAACTTCACTGGCTGGCCCCTAAACTCCCCTTTGTGTGTGCACTCCGTAACTTAGCCAAGACGGCCTTTTCTGTTCCTCCTATATTATACTCCATCTCCCTTCTCAGTGCCTTTGCACTGGTCATTCCACATGCCTGGAATGCCCTCCATCCTTACTTCTGCTTCACTGACTCCCTCTCTTCTTTTGTGATTCAACTCACATGTCATCTTTCCTAATCCCTTCAAATACTAGGGACTTTCCTCCCAAACTACCTGGCCTCTCCCAAACTATCTGGTGTTTATTTAAATTTATTCTCTTAAATTTATTATTAAAATTATTAAATTTATTCTGTATATAGTGACAGATGTCTTTATTGTCTTCCCCGTTAGAATGTAAGCTCTTTGAGAGTAGGACCCACTAGGATGGGTTGGAGTGAGTCTTGATTTTTTTGCTCTCTCTCTAGCTTACAGAGGTTAGGGACTGGGGGATTATCAGTTCATTCATTTTATCTCTATCCCTAGTGCCTAGCACAGTGCCTGCCACATAGTAGGTACTTAATAAATGCCTGTTAGTTGATTGTTCTATCTCACAATAATATTATCTAACGCAAATTTTGTTGTTTGATCTATGAGAATATCATGGAAAACTGTAAAATGCTTTCCTGAAATTAAGATATCTATGGCATTCCCCAATCAAATACCCTAGCAAAAAAGCGAATAAGGATCTAGACTGGCATGATACGTCTTAGTGAATTCAAACTGACTCCTAACGATCCCTATATTCCTTTCTAGTAAACAGTAACAAACCATATTGAATATACTTTCTAGGTTCTGTGAATCAACACGGAACTTAACAATAGCTCATCTTTAGGCTCCTGATCCCTCCAATAGTGGCTCTGAAATAACCCAAGTCCTCTTCCCCACTACTCTAAGATAGAATGTCTGAGCCAGGAAAGACACATTAATGTTCAGCCACTAGCTACTCTCTTAATTTCCTTAATAACCTGGGTCTAAGTCCTCTAATTTTAAGAAGTTTTTATTTCCTATCAATCTATAACCTGCCACCAAGAAGTGCTATAAATGCTTTCATTCAAGTCACAGATAAAAACATTTTGAAGAGAAGGGGTTCACAGAACCCCTGGGACACTGCACTAGAGACTTCCTTATGGGTTGACAATTATTCATCCATTTATCACCACTCTTTGGATCCAGTCATTCAAACAGTTCCGAATTCACCTATCACCCAGTCCATACATCTCTCTATACTCCCTCCTAAAGCTCCCTCCCCCCCAACCACATTCCTCTGATCACAGTCGCAATCTAGTCACCAGTTAAAAACGGAAATGAGATTACTCTGACATGACTTATTCTTTTTTTTTTTGGCTAGGCAATGGGGTTAAGTGACTTGCCCAGGGTTCACACAGCTAGTAAGTGTTATATGTTTTGAATTCAGGTCCTCCTGAATCCAGGGCCAGTGCTCCATCCACTGCACCACCTAGCTGCCCCTGACATGACTTATTCTTGATAAACCAATGCTGGCTCCTAGTGATTACCCTTCCCATTACTAAGTGTTTAGAAACCATTTGTGAATAATGCAATCTAGAATGCTGCCAGGAAATTCACCAATCTATAGTTTGAAAAATCTACCTCCCTCCCTCCCTCCCTCCCTCTCTTTTTCGCTCAAACTGGAACAATATATCTTAATAATAGTACTCACATTTATATTGTCCTTTATAAAGTACTTTCTTCATAGCAAACCATAAGGTAGACAGTGCAAATATATTTTTTCCCATTTTAAAGATGAGGAAACCAAGTCCTACAAAGATGAAGTGATTTCTCCAAGGTCACACAGCTATTCTCCAGTAGGTTCTACATGCTAGGGCTTCTGGTTATAGAACCAGTGGTTTTCTGGTTTGTTTTTTTCCTCCTCAATCCTCCTGTGCCATCTCTAATGCTATGTCCTATCCCTCCTATTAGATCTAGGCTTTTAAAAAACAGTATCTTGCTGCATTCTAGTCATAAGGCCTATTCTAACAAATCACAATGATAACTAAGAGAGATTGTATTTACCTCCTTGTGTTAAAATTTCAAATTCATTCTGGGAGTTGGTGGAGAGACATCTCAAGCTGGATCAGCTTCCCTGTTGCTTCACTTGAAAATCATGAGGTACACCCTCTGCTTTTTTAACTCTGTGACAAAGGAGTTCTATCCTATCTGTTTTTATTGTAATATTCAGGTCTTTTCTCCCTCATCTCACATCAAGGGCTAAGGGACAGTGGACATGGCTAAATTCTTCAGTATTTGAAATGGCCATCCCAACCCTGCCATGCTAAAGGCAGTTGGGAAAATCTCTTTCCCTATCATTCTCACCTAAGCATTGGGGCATCATAACTCCAGAACTAAATCTTCATGACATTTTCTGATCCCACTTTGAGTGAGAATCTCCCTTCCACCCTGGCCACCCCCTACCAGCTACAGTGTTCTTGTTTCTGTAGTCAAAGTAAGCATGTCAGGGGAAAGTTTCCCTTCAGAGGACTTTCACACTGCCCTCCCCAAGTGAGAACAAGTGCATCACCTCCCCACATGGAAATAGCTAGCACTGTTCTCAAACATGTGTGGGTGGCAATAGGACAAGGACTAATGGAAGCTTGTTCATGTAAACAAATGGAATTGTTCCCTTCCATCTTGGAGAAGTAACAAAGTAGAGATACTAATGGGGAAAACAGCTCCCAACCTGGGCATCAATAATCTTCTGCTTGGAGTCCACTGCTGCCTGCATCTCTGCATGGTCCTTCTTTAATTCCTCCTCCACTGACATCAACCTAGAGAAAGAAAATAGGAGCGACACCCATGACTGTGAGATCTTTCTGTCATTGACCACACACGAGAGTACAAGGGTTTCCTCTAGAGAGGGAGCTTTGGTGAAAATCAGGCCTGACAGCTTTGTGAGTGAGGGCAGGCCTTTGGTTCCTGAGCAACGCTGAGACATAACAGAATTACACACTGTCAGAATTTGAGGTGCTCACGGACCAGTAACAGAGTTGAAAGGATCCTTAGAACAGAGAATGTCACACAGCTGGAAGGGCCCTTAGAACAGACAATGTCACAGCTAGAAGGGCCCTTAGAATAAAGAATGTCACAGCTGGAAGGGCCCTTAGAGTGGAGAATGTCACAGCTAAAAGGACCTTGGGAACAGAGAATGTCACACAGCTGGAAGGCCCTTAGAACAGACAATGTCACAGCTAGAAGGGTCCTTAGAATAAAGAATGTCACAGCTGGAAGTGCCCTTAGAATAAAGAATGTCACAACTGCAAGGACCTTTGGAACAGAATATCACAAATGGAAGGGATAACATAGAACACAGAATGTCAAAGCTAGGAGGTAGATTTTAGAATAAAGAATGTGTAGAAGTCAACTTTGCTCCAGTGCTTCTATTCTGGAAACTGTCCTTTTCATGAGGTTTGAAGTAAGGAAGGATGTAATGTAGTCCCCCTTTCCTTCTGTAACCTCAGGCTATACCCTCCTGGGTCCAGGAAGATATTTTCCAACTGATGAAGACAGCATAATATAAACAACCCCTAGGTATTCCTTAATTACATGCTCTTGCCTAAATAACTGTATGTGTTTTTTGACTAGCTATTTCAACTTAGACATTCGATAAAAAAAAAAAAGTCAGGATGTAATAGGTCTCCCGAGTGCTTTCACACATAGTATGTAGATAAGATATTTTGATGCTTTAAGAAGTGAGAGTCACTTCCTAAAGAAGTGCTGTTTCTCATCTTGGCCAATTGTTTTGTTTGTTAGGCGTCGTTATTTTTAAACAAAAGTTTTCCACGATCTTGCCTGCTAAAACCAAGAAAGTGACTTTTCCCCCCACAATAGTTTTTAGAGATAGAAGACATCATCTAGTCTAATCATTTCATTTTACAATATAGCAAGCTGAAGCTCACAGAAGGATAGTGACTAGTCACACATCTATTAAGTGGGCCAGTTCTTCTGACTCTCAGTCCAGTGCTCTTTCCACTATGCCACAAGAGTGAGAACTCACTCCAGCAGCCGACAACCAAACTTTCACACAGAATGGCCCAAATTCACTAACCCTACAACCACAAAATTTTCCCCTAGTTGCTACTGAGCTGAAGAGAAGCCAAGAGACCCGATAGCTTTCCTAGAGCTCTAATACGGAGTCCTCCTCCTCCCTGCATCAGCCTGAGCCAATCTCCGCCAGACTCTGCCACACAACACCAGAGCCTGTCTGAGGTCATCATATGGTTGGCATCTGTCTGGTCGCCATGATGTCGTTTGCCAATCTGTATTCTAGTTCCAACAATCACAGATTGTTAGGTCTGCAAGACTCAGAACTCATGAAGTCCAATCTCTCATTTTACAAAGAAGGAAACTGAGGCCCAGTGAGAAGAAGTTGACTTCCCCAAACTACACAAAAGGCTGGAGACAGCATTGCTGGGACTCAAGTTCAGGTCTTCTTCCTTGTCCAGAGTTCTTTCCATTGCCCTCCTTTGGATTCCAAAATGACAAGGCCTTAAGGAGGACATCTAAAGCCTCAAAGGGATGCCCTCTCCTCTTTCTTCCTTCTCATGAGCACCTGTGGTCTTGGTTGCTAAGTAGTACCTCCTTATTGCCAACTCAGCGAGGCATCTGCACTGAGTCTTGGGCCTTAGGGTTACATAATAAGTTGGTGACTTTGAAAGACAGAGAAAGACAGAAAGATTGGGACAGAGGTTTATTCAACTTTTTGAACCAAAATTCTTAATGGTGTAAGTAATACTGTCATTTTTTGTTTAATACTGTCACTTATGTTTTACTTTCTTAAAACTTCCCAAATGCTTTGCCATCTAATGTCTAATTTGATCCTCACAACACCCTGGGGGGAGAGACAGAGAAGGGACCATTACCTACATTTTATAGAAGGGGAAAGGGGGGCCCCAAAAGTTATTTGCTCAAGGTCATACAGGGAATTACATAGGTAGACTCGGACCTAGGACAGAGGATTCTTGCCTCCCAGCCTGTGTTCTAATAAGCTCCCATTTCTAGAGCCCTTCCAAGTTACAAAGCCCTTTCACAGCTCTTATCACATTTGACCCTCAAAAGGTAGGTACTTTGACAACTAATATTTTAGCTGATCTTCATGACCACCCTGAGAAAACGGTAACATAAGCATTATCTTATTTTAGTCTCATTTTACAGATAAAGAAACCAGGATCAAATTGCCTGCCCAAGGTCACATGGTGAATAGAAGTGGCAGAGCTGGACCTGGCAACAGATTTTTTCTATCTTTTAGACTACGTTGTCACACTTTTCTGCTCTCAAAGAAAGACAGAGACAAAGCATAGGAATGGAGGAAGTTCAGTGACACAGACATGGGAAAGGGCTTTGCCCAACTCACCTGCTGATGATCCCCTTCATCTGAATCTCCTTATCCTCCTGCTGCCTCCGTAACCTCTCCTCCCCCTCCTCCAGCCGAGCCTGGTACTCCAGCATCAGCTTCTGGGTCGTCTCCTCTTGGCACTTGAACCTGCTCTCATACTCTTCTAGCTTCTTGGCCGAGATACGCAGCTTGTCCTGTAGCACTACAATGTCCTGCTGGGACAGCCCGCAAGCAGGGACACGCATGCACATGCACGCACACGCAAGATAAACACAGAGCGGATTGGTCGTTAGCATGCTTCCTGCTTGGGATCTCACTGATACCTGGAGCATGAGCTCCCCCATGAATCCAAGTGAATTGTTAGGCCTGGGCTCCTATCTATTCCTCTCCCATACCATATGACACTCCAGCCCAACCCGATGGCAAAAGGTGCTGTCTGAGGAAGAACACCCTTGAGTGACGGGGATGTTTAGGATTTTGTTTGATGTTGTAGAGAGTATGAGCCTGGGATGTACAGCTCCTTGATTCCCACTTATGGGTGTGTGTGTGTGTGTGCAGGGTTTGGGGGTGGGGGAGGGAGTTGTCAGGCACAAAGGTGCCTTCATCATGATGCTGAAGAAGATAATCCATCCAACTGAGAGGAGGCTGGCAGAGACAGAGAAGGGGCTAAAGTGTAGGCAGGCAAGAGCACTGAGTCACTAGGCAGACCAAGTCTGGTTGATCTAGAGTAGTGGTTGAGCCCCACGAGGATCTGATTTTGAGAAAGGAAAAAAAAAAAGGAAAGAAAAAAAAACCCAACAGCAAAAAAATCAGGCTGAGAAAGGAGAGAAGCAGCAATGGTGCTCTGGGCATGAAACAAGCAGGAGAGGCGGCACCTGAAGCAGACCAGAGTAAGGCAGCAGAGATGGAATGGATCAAATGACCAGTATCACCTAGCAAGGAGGAGCCAGGAGGTCCCTCGAGCCCCTCCTCTCCCCATCCCCAGTGGAATCCCCAAAGGGTCAGTTCCTTTCAAGGGAAATACAGGGACACTGTGGTGGCTGAGCACCACATCGAATCTTCCTTCTGACACCAGCTTTCCCACTAAGGGACTGGGGTGAGAAGGATTTTTCACTGTGTACATATGTCATGATGTCATTAGAAATACCAGGGGTGGGAGATATAATCAGGAATTCACAGAGAAACCAACAACAGGCCACGACTGATAATCCCTTTCAGGTATGTTGGTTTTCTTTAGGCCAGGAGTTTCTAACCTGGCCTCTATGAACGTACTTTTTAAATATTTTGATAACTATATTTCAGTAAAATTTGTTTCCTTTGTGACTGTCATGTATTTTTATTTTATGCCTTCAGAAACACCATTCTGAGAAGGGGTCCATAGACGTCACTACATTGCCAAAGGGGTCTGTGACACAAATATTAAGACTTTAGGGCCTTACAATCTCTCCAATAAGATGGTACCCCCAGGCCCTCAACAACCCTCCAGGAGGCAGAAACCTCAGAGGAAGGCTGGCTGATATAAAGCAACAGGGCGTGAGGTGATGGGTGAGAGGAGCTAGTCTGCTGAGGGGCCTCTCAGGGCCCAGGATAAAAGGAATGTCCTGACTGAGGCATACACAGAACTGTGATACCCATCATCATAGTTCTGGGAATAGAAGTATTGGGCCACAGTTAGAATTCCTCCAGTTTGGGCAGAGTCCTGTGGAAACTATGCAGAGATGAGGAAGGAATCATTTTCTTTTAGGATCACAGGATTGAGATCTAGAAAGAGACCTCAGACCAGCTTAATTTTACAGCTAGGGAAACTGAGGCCCAGAGAAGTTGTAACAATCCCAAAGTCACGCAATTAGTGACAGAAGAAGGATTTTAACTCAGGTCTTCTTTCCACTGCACCACATAGCTCTGGAGCATCCATGCCTGGGGTCTGGCAAAGAAAGTTTTGTCAGCTGGCCACTAGCACCCTCATGCCTATAGGCAAGAAAGTATACTGGGAAGAGTTCTACTCTTTCAGGCTACACAAAATGAGCTAGAAGAAAAGACTACCTGCAGATCAGGTCCCAAGAAGAGCATCCAGGACCAGGGAGATGCAGAGAGCTCATTCAGGTGGGGCAAAGTCCCCTCCCAGGAACGGATGGGAGATTATGCCTCTAGAACGGGAATTCAACAGGTAGGGATTCCTCACCTTATAGGAACATAGGATCCAGATCTAAAAGAGACACTAGGAACTCATATAATCCAACTTCCTCTTATAGCTGAGGAACACGATATCCAAAATTAAGTGACTTGCCCAAGATGGCACTGGGAGCAAATAGAAGAAGCAAGATTTGAGCCCAGGTCTTCTGATCCCAAGTCATTTGCCTCTTTCTCTACTAGCACAATCATAAAATAATGGGGGAATGCTAATACTAACTACTGATGCCAATGGCTGATGTGATGAGAAGGTAATGGGAAGCATTATGGGGATAAAGAGCTAGGGTGAAAGGAAAGAGGACTGGCTATCAAACTTGCATCTCCCCAAAAATTGGCCTCCTTCTTCTTCTCTACCTTCAAGACAGAGCTTTGATCACAGTCAGCACTAGAGTTAGGAGACCACTGCACCTCAGCTGAGTCCACTCATTACCTCCGATGGAACTTAGGCTTCTCTAATGAAGCCCAGCACTGCCTTGTAGAAACAAGCAATGGAGGCCAGGAAGCCTGTAGCACCCACTCAAAGGGAGAAAGAACTGAAAATCCTCAGGGAGGAAGAGCCCCAAAAGGTCTAAAGTCTGTCCTCTGACCCTAAACATCTGTTTCCCCACAACTAGCACAAAATGATAGGGTGTTAGAGCTAAAAGTGTTCTCAGAAATTATCTGGGCATCTAGGTGGTGCAGTGGATAGAGTGCCAGGCCTGGAGTCAGAAAGACTGACATTCCTGAGTTCAAATCTGGCCTAAGATACTTACTAGCTGTGTGACCTGAACAAGTCACTTGACTCTGTTTGCCTCAGTTTCCTCATCTATAAAATGAACCAGAGAGGGAAACGGCAAACCGCTCTAGTATCTTTGCCCAGAAAACCCCAAGTGGGGTCAAGGAGAGTCAGACACGAGTGAAGAACAATTAAACTGAAGCTTCCCATGTTACATATGAGGAAACAAGTTCAGGAAACTTGATTAGCCCAAGGTCATGGATTATCATATTTTGAGCTAGAAAGGAACCTGAGATATCATCTAGTCCAATCCCTTTATTTTACTGATGAGGCCTGCAGAGGATAAAAGCCCTGATCAAAACCACTGAGGCAGCAGGGGCAGAAATGGAACCCAGAACCCTCTTCTCCCCAATCCAGTGCCTAGGGCTTAGAAAGAGCAGAGTCAGGCCCTGAAGCTTATCCTGCTGACTTCCAAGCCTGCTGTTGTTTCTACCACCCCATGGTCTTTTCCAGAAGATTCTACAAGTGTTTCCTGCATCCTAATTGTTCAGAAGGATGTGATACCAACATAGCTTGAGGAAAAGGATTTGGTTAAGTGTGTGGGGTACAGGCATGGGGAAGAAATTTCCTCACTTCCAAAAGCACTATGGGAGAAATCCCCATATTAATTCAGCACAACACTGAGCACTTTTCATTCACCTGCCTCTGGTGGACTCGGGATCCTGTCTCTGCAGGGTCCTAACTACAGGGCCAGAACCAAGACTGTCTTAAGCCCTAGGGATGTTAGAGGGGCTGCCCAAGACAAAACATTTCCTAAGGAGTAGAAGTGAGAGGACAAAGGCAAAGGGCTCTGAGGCTACAAGACCACAGGTTTGAGAGGGACTTTAGAGAGCCTCTCAGATAAGGGGAAGTTCACAAGGCACCAAGAACACACAGCTAGGTTTGGAATCCAGGACTCCTTTCACCACATCCTGCTGCCTCAATGGGTGTGTGACTGTAATAATCCTTGTAAGTCATCAAGGAAAGAGATAAAGCAAAGATGGACGGGGCTGGCCGCAGGATAGGACAAGTCTGAGTAGAACTGTTCCCTGGGTCACCCAACTGCACTGTACCCACTCCCACTTTCCAGTCCCTCCTTCCCAGCCCCAGTATGGCAGGGTCACCACACACCAGGCCCCTGAGCTCTGCAGGGCTAGCTCCCAGTCATGGAAATGCCAGGGACCAGTCTCAGGTTACCTTTTCAGCTTGGCTGAGTTCCTCCTTACTCCTTAGCTTATCCCTGTGTTTGGGGTCTGGGTCAAAGCTCTCATCTTCTAAAAACTGCATGTTCATATTCAATAGCCAAGCGGCAGTGCGGTCCAGTGCATTGGGGTTCACAGGTGAAGGGGCCTACAATGAGACATACAGCCAGAACCAGAGAAATAAATGGCAAGAACCAGAGGGGCGTGGGACCTGAGGGGAGGGGTGAGGAGGGTTGGGGTTAAGGTAAGGGGATAGGATGGGGGGGACTGAGGTAGAAAAAGGTTGAGAGATGAAAAAATTGAGGAAGAGGAGAGAGACAGAAAGATGAAGGAAGAGAGTAGGGCTGAGAGACTTAAGAGAAAGCTCAAGAGTGAGAAAGAATATGAGAGGAAGAAGAGGAAGAAGAGAAAGAAAAAGAGGAAGAAGAAGAGAAGGGGGGGGCTAAGAGAAACAGAGAGGCAAAAAGAGGGTGTGAGAGAAGGACAAAGAGAAGAATAGGGGCCAAGGAAAGATAAACCAAGAAGAACTAAAATAGAAAAAGAAGGTCAGAGAGAGGTGGACAGAGTAAGAGGAGGAAGGACTCAAGACACACAAAGACAGAGAGGGGAAGAGAGAGAAGGGCAGAGACAGAAGCACAGAGGAATTAAAAGACAGGAAGAGAGAAATACATATAAAGAGAAGAATAGAGAGAAAGATAGGAACACAGTGGTAGAAAGATTGAGTGACTAATACAAAAAGAGGAAGCGGCAAAGAGAACCAAAGATAGAGAGAAGGGAAGAAATGAGAAGAGGAAGGAAGGAGAAGAACTGAATGTTTTCTTCTGACAAAGTTTAAACATTCGAATGCTTCATCTTTTCAGAGTGGAAGACACTACTGCGGCGGCCAGCTCCCCGACACCACCCCATTGGGAGAACGGTCTCTAGCAGGGGGGAAGTGGTTTGTACTGAACCTTCCTTGGTCTCCTGCCCCTTGGCCACTGTGAGTGAGGGTTCTGAAAGCCTGGGGTGAAGTGTGATGCCAACTGGGCCAATAGGGTTTGCATACACAACTTTGTATGCACATGGATCTAACCACTGTACTAGCCAGCCTAGAGAACTGTGCCTAAGACTAAGTGGAAGGGTGACCTCCAAGTGGGAAATGTAAGGTCATCACAAGGTCATTAGAAGGACCAGGTCCATAGTATCATTGAGTATTAGAGTCAGAGAGGGCCTTAGAGATCATCTAGTCTAATTCATTTTACAGAAAGGCCACTGAGGCTCAGAAAGGGGAATTCACTTGCTCAAGGTTCCAAAGCAAGTCAGTTGCAGTGCCAGGACTCAAACCTCTGGTCTTCTGACTTCTCATCCAAGTCTCTTTCTACTAAACCACACTGTCTTGGTTTATCGGTCAGGGCTCTCATTCAAAGCCTCAGGACCACCATGGTAGGATAGCAGGATTATCAAATCCACCTAGTTTAAGGGCAATGTGGCAACACCCTGTCCCATGTAGTTGGCAAGACTTAGGACTTTGAGCTAAGCCTCCCTACACAGGGACAGTATGGTCTAATAGGTAGAGTTCCAACCTTGGAGTCAAAAGAGACCTGCACATGAATACTGGCTCTGATATTGCTGTGTGACCCTGGGAAAGTTACTTTATTGAGCCTTACTTTTCTAAGCTATAAAATGAAAACAATATTTGTACTACCTTTCTCTCACAAGGATGTGGCAAAGAAAGTGCTTTACAAAGCACCTGAGAAATGTGAGTCATTATTGTTATTCAATGTCTATGCTATTCATAGGAACTCCATCCTGATACCCCAACCCCAGCCTGTCATTTCCCACTGGCTTCTTGGAGGACTGTCATAGCTCTTGATAGAGGGGTTGAAGCCCCAAGGACCAAGAGGTAGGTACTGTTTTAGGACAAGGAATACTCAAGGCAAAAACTTTTCCCCAAGTTGGAAGGCCTACGGTAGCAAACCAAGGATGGTCAGACATGAGCAGTGAGAGACACTCCCTGACCATCTTAACATTCTCAAGGAGCCCACATGTAAGCCTGTAGCCTGCTCCCTGCTGGTGAAATGAGGTCTGATTGGGCACCGGCTGGAGCATGGGATGATGGTTCTGGGTATGGAAGTTCAAGGCAGACTTAGGGATGTGGATGTGAAATGATGAGAAGTAATAAAAAAAAATAAAAGCAGAATAACCACTCTTCCTGTGCTGGGGGGTAGAAGGGGAACTGTGCCTTCAAACCCAGTTCCAGGACCCCCCCCCACCCCGAAGTAGCACAGTGGAGGTCCCGTTATGGACCTGACCTTGGAAATTAGATCAGGAAGCTTCTGACTCACTAAGGTGCACTGGTTCCTAGAGCCAGGCCGGCTCCCAGGTCTTACAAGGACTGACCTGTTTGTGCATGGTACGCTGCTTCATCTCAGGGCTATCCCCCTTGGAGGAGGATGACTGTTGCCTGAGCCGGGCTCCACTGCCCGGCCAGTCAGGGGAGGAGGACATCATGCTCCCGCTTGATGGCCTGGGGTACTGCATGGTATTCAGGAGGGAAGGCGGCGTCCGGCCCCGAGTGACAGGGGGAGGAGGGGGAGGCGGCGGCTGGTCTATCCGCCTCTGGGGGCCGGCACTATTCTGCCGCGGCACAGCAGACTGTCCACCCTTTTCTGTCAGCGACATCTGCCGCCTTGCCAGCTCCCCAGGACGCCGGGCCAAGTCCTCAGCGGCAGCGCTCCCAAAGCCACCCCCACTATGTTTGCTGGCCGCCAGCTCCTCACTGTTGCTGTGAGAGCTCAATGAGCTATGGCATTCAGAGCCCGAGTCCCCTAAGCCCCGGGGTGAGAGGGGCAGGCCAGCAGCCATCTGATACACAGGGTTCTGGAAAGAAAGTGGCGCTAGCAGCTGGGGCCGGCCCGGTGCACCCTCAGAGCTGGGTGTGGTGGGTGTCTGTCCTGCCCGCCGCACCGTGGCCATGCCCACCAGGCTGTTCTGGGTTGTCCGGGCTGTCCACACACCCTGTAGCTGCCCTGTGGATGACTGGCTGTCATTGAGAGGGTCTGAGGCCCCTGGGGTGCTGGTGCCCCCATCCAACATCCGACTGTCCTGCAGGTCCACCATGGAGAGGCTTTTGCTGCCGTTAGACATCTGGACATCGGGCTCATTGGCCTCCGAGTAGCTCGAGCTCCGGGCAGGGGAGGGTTGGACCCCAGAGGACCTTGTGACAAAAAACAAGTCCTTGTTTTCAGGGGTTGGAGATGGTAACCGTGTGAAATCTATCAGACTGCAGGGAAGAAAAGCACACACAAGGGAAGGGGGTGGGGAGGGAAGGAGAAGAAGAAGAACCATAAATGCTATGCAAAAGCGCAAAATAAACAGAATAAATCAATCCAGGGAAGAACAAGCAGGAAGATTATTGTTTGGGAAAAGCAAAACAGCCAGGGAGACATGGGCGGAGGTTTGGGGAGGGGATGGGGGGAGGTCTATGGGGCTCACGGTGGGTGAGGCAGAAAGGAGAAGGGAGGGAGGGAGTCATGGCACTGGAGGATTTGCAGCTGGAAGGGACTCTTCATCTCATCTAGTCCAACCTCCTTTTAAAGTATGTGGATCAGATGAGGAAACTGAGACCCAGGAAGGCTAGAACCCCTCATTGTCAGACTTCAAATCAAGAGCTGTTTTCACTCCGTCAGGCTGCCTCCTTGTTCGTGCAGACCTGGGTGTGGGACCAAGAGAACAGATGTGCTTCATGCTGGGGAAGGGCTCCACTTGCACACAATCTAATTGGCCTTCTGAGTGTCCCTCTCTGATACTGGGTATTGTGAAAATGACGGTGGAAGAGCTTGTTAACGTGCGGTCCTCCTTTCTCATTCTTTATCAAGATATTAACTAAAGCACAGAACACAGATCAGAGCAGACTCCCCCTTGAAGAGGAAGAAAGAAACACAGCGAAACCCAGTCAGAAGTGGGCAGAGGGAGACAGCTGGACCCTAAGAGACAAAACTCTCCTGTCTTTCTCTCCAGGAGCCAGGGAGAGTATGGCATCAAACTCATGTACTTCTGAGAACAGCTGAAACAGACACCAGTGAATCCTTGGGAGCATGAATTGCAGAGAGGGGAGAAAAGAAGAGAGAGAGAGGAGATAGCGTGTGTTCAGCAGGGAAGAAAGTATGGGAATGATTGTGTGCGTAGCCAACTACACAGAGGGGAGGCACCTACCCTACTCCCATACTTCTGCTCAAATGACCTCAAAATCCACTGTTAGAGATTAATTGCTTGGGGCTAACACTTTCCTGTCTGACAATTCTCTTGTAAAATAAAAATGCTTCTGGGAGAGGGTAGCAGGGTGAGGAGTTTATCAGTGACTAACACACTTTAGGACCTCATTAGTAATTAACACCTCTGTGCAAAGGAGCTGGTCAGAGCAATCATCAGGGCATGGCACTGAGGCAGGGAGAGATCTAAGGGCTAATTTTAAACTGGAACAACACCTCAGAAAACAGGCTTCAGGGGAGTAGTAGGGTGCCCCTGAGTGGGAAATGAATAGGGTGCCCTAAATAATGAGAGTGAGTGTATGAGTGTGCTTGAGTGTTTGTGTGTATGTGTGTCAAAAGGAGTATCTTTGTAGGTAAACATATCAGTCATAGATGTGGGGCTCTATGAAATGACTTTATCAAAATCTCCTTTTCCAGGAGTTCTACCAAATGCTGAGCCCCAGTCTCAGGTGACCCAAGGGGAAAGAAAGGAAAACAGGTCCAGTTCAGGGAGGGCTGGTGACTGCAGTAGAGACACAGCAGTGGCTGAAATGGATTATTGATGTTCTACTTAATCAATCAACAAGCATTTATTAAGCACCTCGTAGGCACTAGGCAGTGTATTAACTGCTTCCTAAAGCCATTCAGGAAGGGGTCCACAAAAGTCAAAGCTTTAAGGGACCTTAGAGATGCTTCAGTTCAATCCCCACATTTTGCAGATGAAAAAACTAAGGCTCAAAAGTGATTTGAACCAAGTTATACCCAGGCCATCTGACTCCAGACCTGGTGCCCTTTTCAGACTTCCCTCCTAAGCACAGAGCAGAAGAAGACCCCATGTGGGTCTGAGGCTGGATCTGGTCTTCCTCCCACCATCCTTTTGGCCCCAGTCTTGCCACCCAACTTATGTGCCAAGGTTCTTACCCAGACAGATCATTCTCAATCACCATCTTCTGCAGCCCTGCAGAGATGCTGCCCCCTGTACTTGGGGTAGAGGCTGCATGCTCAGCTGTCATTGACAATTGCACGCTGGCTGGATTGTTCAGGGCTGTGTTGACGTCCCTCAGGATCCGAGGCAGAGGCCCGAGCTTGGTGACCGTACTCTGCAGAGAGACGGTGAGACGCAGATATTACCTGCTGAGGAATGGACACAAAGAAGAGAGGGGCTCCCTGGGTCTTATCTGGTGGCCTTCCCCTTTCTCCTTTCACCGTAGTGGACTTCAGGGATCTGCTGTTCTCTTCTGTTTTAACATGCTATGTAGAAAAATCCTATCCAGCTCTAATATTCTCTGATCGAAAGTGTCTTCTGCTTCTAATGTTCTGCATTCTCTGACATTATAAGGCTCTTTTTTGATCTTTTCCTTCCTCCTCCTCCTCCCCCTTCCCACTCAGCCCTGTAGTACCTGCTCGAACTGAGAAATGACCTCCCAGAGCAGGGAATGCAAAGTGGAGAGTTCCCGCCCCAAGTCGATATAGCCCTCGAAGCCGGCTGTGTTTGAGATGGTCTCTGGGTTAGAGATCTCCAACAGGAACCGCTGCATGTTTGTCCACTCGTGTTCCAGAAACTGATTCATGAAGGACATGTATTCCTCCTTGCTGCCAAACCTGGCAAAACAGGGGTAGTATGAGCCCCTTGTGGGAGCCAAGCTAGACTCAGCCTAACATCAAGAGGCTGTCTCTTACTCTGTCTGGAGCCCGTCCTGCTGATATCCCATCCCGAAGACTGCATGGGAAGGAAAGGGATCGAAGCTAAACCCTAATGTGTTGCAATACACACTTTCTCAACTTAGAAGTTTGTCCATGAAGTCAGTGCTGTAATGGGAAGGGTGCTGGACTTAGAAGCAGGAGTCTCGGGTCTGAGTCTTGGCTCAGACCCTCATTAGCCCTGTGACCATGAGCAAGCCGAAGCACTGTACCTCTCTAATCCTCTACTGCCCCTTCCATCAAATGGGAATAACAATGATCTCAATGTCACAGGGTAGCTGTGTGTTACAGGGATGTAAGCTCTCATAGAAAGAACCCTGCTTCCTCTGATGCCTTAGTGTCCTCACTTCTGAGCCATCTAGATGCAGGGGGAGAGGCTATTTCAGGTGATGCTTTTGGAAGGCTCTATGGAGGAAGAAGCTTGTTGCCAAGCTGCAGGGTGATGAAGTTTTTGGCTGCAATAACTCTTAAAAACAAAAAAAAAAAACAACCATCTGCTTTGTTACAGGAGGGCTACAAGTTGAGTCGATAGAGGGAGTATTCAAATCAACAAAATTAAATAAACTTGCAGTATTATGTGACTATAGTATGATGCTTAAACCTCATCACCCCCTTCTTTTTCTTCCTTCTTCTGCAAGAATCCCATTTGGAAAGAACAGAAGGAACTTAATAGCGACCTGAAGCAATGGCTGTCTTTTTTTGGGAAGAGGGAAGGCTAGGGAACAAGAATTTATTAAGCGCCTACTATGTTCCAGGTACTGTGTTAAGTGCTTTACAAATATGATCTCATTTGACCCTCAAAACAACGTTGTGATATGTAGCTTGTTATCCTAACTTTACATTTGAGGAAACTGAGGCAGACTTGCCCAGGGTCACACAACTAGTATGTGAAGCCAGATCTGACCTCAGGTCCTCCTCACTGCAGGTCCAGGGGGTCTATCCACTGTGACCTGTGACCAAGTCACATCAACTCACAACCGCTTGTGTGGAAAGGCTTTGCTATTTGTCCCTGGCTGGTCTCCTCCTGCTCCCTAAATGTGGGTCCAAGCCATCATTCCTTGCAATTGGTCAGTGTGCAAACTCACCGCAAGACCAGTTTGACTTAACCAAATGTGATCAGGAAGACAAAACTGAGAAGAGTTTGATATTATCTGCTACTTTGAAATAGTCAATGTTGGGAAGCGGGGTGGAGGGAAAAAGAGCACTGGATTTCGGGTCAGGAGACTTGGGTTTGAATCCCTGATATGTCATTTACTAGCAGCCTGACCCTGGACAAATCACTTTCCCTCTGTAGGCCTCAGTTTCTTCCTCTGCACGACGAGAGTTGGAATAGATAATCTCTAAGCTCACCGTCAGTTCTTGATCCTATGGCCTCCGAGTATCCATGGTTTGGACTCATCCACAACACTGTTCCTTTCTAATATCACTGCTAATTAAGCATTGGCTTATGAGTGAATGTGGGGAAATGTAGCTAGCATGCATGAACGACCTCTTGGGCAGGTCCCAAAGGAACAGATTCATTCTCTCCCTTCTCTCCACACCAACGTGGGCCCTGGTATTATGTCGGCAAAAGCCACCCTAAGTCCTGTCAAAGTGCCTCATGGTTCAGGGCCTTACTTTACTCATTCCTCCTGATGACATCATGGGACATCGTAGCCAGCACACACAGAAAGGAGAGCCAGATAACCCCTCAAGGGCATGCTCTGGCATCCTGGGAGGGGCAGGGAGTGCAATGGAGTTTGGCTCCAAAGGTTCTTGGAGTTGTACTTCCTTCCATTGTCACTTTAGGAAACTTTGGAGACCAGGCCTAGCCTAAGAGCCATGAATGAGAAGAACGTGTCTGGGCTGTGAGGGGCAGCCCTTTCAATGACTTGTGTTCTCCCCCTATTTTCCCAGTGAACTGTTGGGGAAAATAATCGCTTTGGGGCTCCTACAAGTAGGACGCTGCTCTTGCTTCTCACAGAGGGTCTCCCACCACCCTGGGCCTGGACTTTCTAAATAGACAATGTCCATAGCCCTTCTGCAAAGCCCAGAGCATACATTTGGGGTAGACAGAAAAGAAACAGAAGCACTGAATTTGAAGCCAAAGAAATGGAGACCTCATGTGAGTGTTGCCATACATGACCTGTGTGACCTTGGATAAGTCACTTCCTCCTCACTAAACCACAATTTTCTCCTCAGTAAAATGATGATAATTCCTGCCATGCCTCCCTCACAGGGTTTTTCTAAGGCTCACAGATGACACAAAAATTTTATAAAAATGGGAGCTATGACTGCTGATCTCCTTGCTGTCTCTAAAACATACATATTAAGCTCATTCTTATCTTGGTTCAGGCAGCTCTCCAGGATCACATGACTTGAGATGCCCTCTCCACAGATCTAGCTCTTTCTCTCCCTGGAAGTTAAGACTCATCTCCTCCATGAAGCTTTCCCTGACTACTCCAGGCTATGGCCATCACCTCGACTGAACTGCTCTAACACCTGCTGACTATACCGCCCAACTGCCACTTAGCCAACACTGTGATTTATGATCATTAAGAGTAAATGCTCCTATTTCCAAAGCTCATTCAAGTTTACATGATGCTTTCTTCCCAGCAAACATGTGCTGAGTCCTGACAGCAGATGTCCTTGAAGACACCGACCCCCCCTCAGACTCATGGAGGAGAAAGTGAAACTCAGAAGGGGTTTGCAAGGTTATAGAGTTTATAAGTGGCTGAATCAGGACACAAAGATCATGATGAGGTAGTGAGGAAGCCATTCTGCAACTATCAGACACTACAGAAAATTGAGTGGTTACTGATTGCCAAGAGATTTAGTATCATTTTCCCCTCTGAAAAATGAAGATAGCAATGTTTGCACTCCTGACCTCCCGGGGTATAGTAAGGATAGGAGAGAGGAGAGGAGAGGATGGGAGAGGACAGGACAAGACAGAACTGGACAGGATAGGAACCAGACCAGTGACTTCACTGGCATGAGGAATTCCTGGATGAGAAAACTCTCTCAAATCCAGCTGCATATACTTAACTAAGCTGTGTGACCCTGGGCAAGGCACTTAACCTCTGTCTGTCTCAGTTTCCACAATTGTCATATGGGTATAATAATAGTCCTTTGCACAGTGCTAAGTAAGTGCTCCTTCCCTTTTTCCTTCCTTGTTTTCTCCTTTCCTCCCCACTTAAAGAGTTGCCGAGGGCATGGAAGGTTACCTGACTTGCCCAGGGAACACAGTCAGACCTTGTGAGAGACAGGATTTGATTCCAGATCATCCTGGCTCTGCAGCTCAATCCTCTACTTCAGACTGCCTGTTACTGTGAAAAGAGCCTACCCTCAAACTGTCAGGGGCTGCAGAGACGGGAGCTATCATTATCAGTGGTGTTGATAATAACACAATGGTAGCAGGAGCTCTTTCTTGGGTTCCCATGAAGGGAGAGATAAAGGGTGTGTGTGTGCGCGCGTGCCCATGCACACACGCATACCTATGCTTATCTGTTACAGGGGGAGATTCTACTCACTTGGCAAAGTTGGCCAGGTTCTGAGTGACCTTGGCGATAAGGGTCAGTGTTCGAGCTGTCCGGTCGTCTGGGTACTCCTGGAGCAGGCTGAAGAGGGAAGGGGACATGATGGCAGGGCAGAGGAAACGCAGGAAGAGGGAAGCACTGATGAGGCGCTCACTGATGTCTGGCCGGCCCCGGTTACTACATTCCTGCCTCCAGGAGGCAAAGACTTCCTTCAGCTCCCGGGGGAAGACACTGTGGGGAAAAGAAAGGGAGCCCCGAGGATTACCCTTGGCTGAACTTCAGAGGTGGCATCAACCCACAGGCCGCCTGCCACTGAAAGGAGCCCTGAACATGGATTTAAAAGATCTGGGTTCTAGTAGCAGCTCCTTTACTAACTAGCTGTGTGATCTTGGGAAAGTCCTTTTCTAAACCTCAACTCCCTCATCTGCAGAGTGGGAATACTACTTTCCTGATGACAAGTGCTACAGAAACATGAGCTGAACTCTCACCTCACCTCTCAGGCCTCCTTCCTATCCAAATGGTGCCTGGGCCTGGCAAACAGCAATGAAACCTAAACAAAGCCTTCTGGTGTCTTGGATACCGCTTCACTTTGTCAAAACAAATACTCATCCCTGAAACACCCTGTCACGGAATCATCAGGCCACATGACATGGCCCCGTTCCCTGAGAACAACCTCAGCTCTCCAAAGAGCTCCAGTGTAGCCATGAGACTCTTCAGCTTAAGGGCCAGTTAGGAGACAAGCCTGGTTTGGGGCAGAGGGTTCTTGGTGAGGAGGAACAGAGGATAAGGCTGGAGAGGTAGAGAGTCCAGCAAGATAGAAAGGGAGTCTAACTGGGAGTCAGGAGACCTTGGTTCAAATCTTGGCTCTGACACATCCATTATATAACCTTGGGCAGTGCATATGGCCTCCCTTTCTGGGTCTCAGTTTCCTTTTCTGTAAAGTGAGGAGACTGAATTAGATAATCCTTAAATTCCCTTTCCTTTTTCACTTTCTTTATTCTAAAGTGACTTCATGTTCTATCATTCTTGGTTCTAAGGTCCCTCCCAGTTCCAACACTGTGTTCTAAGGTTGTTTCTAGTTCCAAAATTCTATGGATTAATGGACCTTCTAACACAATTTTCGGTGATCTATGTGCTAACACTGTGTACTCTAACATCCCTTCTAGCTCTGCCATTCTATGGTCTCTTTTATATCCTTTTACATGCTAAGGTCCCTTCCGGCTCTGAGGATTTAGGTTGGGGCCAGATTGTCAAAGGCATTAAATGTTAGATGAAGGAGTTTGGATTCAGGTAGTGGGTAATAGAGAATAATGAAAGTTTACTTATTGATCCACACCTCCAGAATATTTATTTAGCAGTCCTTAATCCTCACAAAGAGATAGGCTGCCAGATCTGACTCAGGAGTTGCCCCCACAAACAGGAACACCCCCCCTCATCTTCCGTCCAGTAGGGTTAGCCTGGCTTTTGTGCTGCCCCATTCCACTTGCCTCTGAGCCCCCTGCTTAGAGCTTGCATGGGTCTTAAAACCTGTCAGAACTAATCTGGGTGCATCAGCAGGGAGAAGTTCTCCTTCCCATAGGGTCCTGGGAAACATCACTCTCCTCTGGGCTTTGAAGAGAGGAGGCAGTAATTGTTTTAACAAATCCCAGCATTGCTTTGTGTAGGGCCTGGGCCTATCATTCATCACACAACTTTCTTCTGGGAACCAGCAGCAGCTTGCTGAAATTCTGCTTACACTGAAACTTTCCAGATGTCCAAATCATGCCCTAATTATAACAATTTTTGGTTATTGTACAGCTTTCCAGCTCTCCCTCCCATAGCCCCGACCAGCCTGCAGACTCCACTGTTCTATATAAAGCCTGGACTGATCTTTACCTTATCTTGCCTGTTCCACCAATCCCAGGCTTCCACCTGCTGGCTCCCATTACTTATTCCCTAGGAAAGGTGAATGAGGAGGAGGAAGAAAACACTGACTGCCTAACTACAAACCCTCTCCTTTTCCTCCAACCAAGAGGCTGGATTCAATGCTTCAACACTCATTAGATCCTCAGCATTGAATAAGAGGGATCTGTAAATAAGCTAGAAACTATCCCTGCCTTCAAAGAGCTTCCAGAAGGGTTGTATTGTAAAGGAGTAAAAGCCCTGGCCTGGGGTCTAAGCCCAGCTCCACTTTACCAGCTGAACAAGAGGCTAAGTTGTTTCTTTGGACCTCAAGGAAAACGAAAGGGTTGGAATAGGTGACCTCTCTCATCCCTTCTAGCTCTGACCCTCTATAGCTGGGGGGGAGGAGGAAAGTCCCAAGAAGCTTGACAAGGAGGGATATTTGCTGAAATCAGTCTCTTTATTTTATTTCTTATGTGAATAAGTGTGATAAACTTTAGGACTTATTTGCTTTCACCTTGAAAAGTCTCTTTTATTTAGGTCTATATGCATGGTAAACTCTAAAAAGTATTCCTTTCATACTGAATAAGGAGTGTGGGAAGGGTTACTGAAAGTTAAGGGATACAGGCACCAAAAAAGGTTATGAACCTCTAAAGTTCAGTCCCTTTGAGCCCTTCTGAGCTCTACAATGACATAATTTAAAGTAGCAGTCGGGTGTGGTGGCACATGGCTGTAATCCCAGCTACATGGGAGGCTAAGGCTAGAGGAGCTCTGGAGTTTGGGAGTTCTGAGCTACAATGGCTTGTGCTGGGTGCCTGCACCAAGTTAAGCGTATTGATACCATATTAATGGTGAGCCCCCTAGGAGGAAGGAGCCATCGGGCTGCCTGAGAAGGGTTGAACCCACCCAGGTCAGAAATATAGCAGATCACAGCTCCTCCATCAATCAGCAGTGGCATCAGGCCCATGAATAGCCTGGGCAAGGAAGGGACACCTAGTCTTAAACAAATAAATATGTCTAGTAATAGTGGGATAAGACACATACCTAGTAAATGCAGCAGTGATAACAACAGTTGATATTTAGCCATTGCTTTCTCTATTACAAAGTGTTTTAAAACCTATTATAATATTTCACCCTCACAGCCAATGTGATGTGACCTACAAATTGGAGGGAGCAGGGGACGGTGTGAATAACTTGATAAACCATTCAGTGTTATAGGAATGGGCATGTGGATGTGGGAGTGAATGAGGAGATGCTCTTTCTACCATAGTCAGGAAGCTCCCCCTTCTCTGCCTTCCCAGGTGACCTCCACTGCAGCCCCAAGGAAGTCAAGGGGGAGGGGGGCCTGCTGATGGGGGTAAGGGCAGTGGTAGGGTAGGGGGCAGAAGTGTCCAGGCAGGGAGTAGTGGGTGGGGGGAGTTGCAGGGAGGGAGCAGCATGTGGTTGGGGGTGGTGCAGCAGTACATAGCTGGGGCAATAAGGTGGAGGGTAGCACAGGGCACACTGACCAGTAGGAGTTGATGATCTTGCAGAATGCCAGCTCACAGCACATCTTCAAGTTACTCTGGTGCTCGGGGAGGTCTGAGGATGAGCACTTGCTGGGGTCCACCTCGCAGTTCTCATCTGACTCATACAAAGCTTTGATAAACTCACCTGAAAAGAAATGTCCCCACCATGGGCAGGTGGTGTGAGGTCCCCTGGGCTGTGTGGGAGGGCAGCCTCAGGTAACAATATCATTGAATTTGAGGTGTGGTGGGGGAAAGGGTCTTCCCTCTTAGAATAAGAGTCACCAGAGAGCGAAGGCTCTGTCTCCCTCTTACACCAGGGGCTTCTTCAGAGTACGAGCCAGGATTCATCCTCCCCCACCCCATTCTGGATGTTCCTTTAGGTCTCACACAGCCCTCCTCCCCCCCATCCCTGGCTCCATGTCCAGTGACACCAACCTAAGGCATCCTGCAGGTACTTCTGGCCCACCAGCTTAAGATATTCCTCAATGGCCTTGGTGGCTAAAGTGTTCTCTCGGAAGATGAGGTGTTCATTCTCCCCACAGCGGTCCACCTCGGACATCATCAGGTCTGTGAGGAAGTCCTGCAGAGGGGAGTGAATTGGGGGCCTGAGGGAGCACATTCTGTGGAGGGGTCCTTGTCCTGGTGGGAAGTAGACAGGGCTTTTCCTGTCTAACAGTAGGGCTTCTCTTCTTACCCCAACAAAGCAGATTCCTACTGTGAACCAAGATCCTTCCAGATCCCTATTAGGGTTAGAAGTGGAGTTCAAGTCTCCGGCAACACAGTATAGTGAGAGGTATGGGATCCAGAGGCCTGAGTGCGTACCTCAACTGAAACACTTACTGCCTGGGTGGCCATGGACCAGTCACTTAACTTCTTTAGGGGTCCAGCTAATGCAAAATGAGGACAAAAATATCTGCTCTACCTATTTCAGGGATATTATAAGGCAAATGTTCATCAATCTTAAAGCAGAATACCAACATGAGTTAGTCCGTGTCACCACTACCTAAAAGTGTGATAAGGGAGATGGGGACCCAACTTTTGGCCTCTGGCCACCCCCATTTCTGCCCAGTTTCCCAGGATTTGGCCTCTCTTGACTTTGGGCAGAGGAATATTATGTTCAATGAGGGAAAAGAAGGCAATCTGGAACCAAGTCAGACCCTCTCAGGTTCTCCCCCTCAACAGCATCTTCCTATTTTAGTTTGAACCAAGATCTAACATCTTCCTGTTCTAGTCTGAACCAAGATCATAGGATTTAGAACTGATAGGGACCTTAGAGGTTAGCTAGTCCAACATCTTTATTTCACAAATGAGGAAACTGAGGCCCAGAGAGGCTAAGTAACTTGCTCAAGGTCACATTGTCAGTAAATAGCAGTGTTGATCTTTGAACCCAGGTCCTCTGATCCCAAATCCTGTCTCCCCAAGGAAGGAAAAAAAAAATTCCTTGCAGGGACCAGAGCCGAACCAGTCCCCATCTAATCTTTGATATGCACATGCTCGAGCTCACTCAGCTTTGACCCAACTGGTATGTGTACAGTAAATAGGTTTAAACTACAAGCAAGAAGACTGTGTCCCCTTCCTCTCCCGACAGAACTCTAGACGTTCTCAAGCCAGGTCTTCCGCTGCGGCTGCCTCTGCCAGGTGGCTTCTAAGTTCACAAGTCTGATTTCTGAGAATTTTAGAGGCCAACGTCCCCTTTAGCCCCAATGCCGGCTGAAGTCTCAGAGAGCCTCTGAGAATTTGGGTTCTACTGAGGAGAGGTGGCAGCTAAAGTTGCTGAGATGCCTCTCCCTGCTTTTCTGGTCCTTATCTAGTCAAACTCAGCTACAGGGCAATGGTCTTCCTACTTTGCTCTAAGCCAAGACTGTTCCAAGGGAATGGCTTCCAAGAGTAGGGATTTGGGGGAGACTGGGGAAGTACAAGGGAGGATATGTGAAGGAGAGACATGGAGACTCAAGAGAGCCATGATAGCTTTCTACTCAGCACTTAATACAGTGCCTTGCACATAGTAGGCGCTTAAATGTTTGTTGATTGATTACAAATATTTGAAGGGCTGTCATATGGAAGAAGAAATAGACTTCTTTAGCTTAGCCCAAGAGGGCAGAACTAGGATCAATAGGTAGAAGTTACAGGGAAGCAGATTCTGTCTCAAATTTTTAAGGAACAACTTAATCAGAACTATTCTGAAATGTTGCCTGGATAGGTAATGACCTCCTCATCACTGGCAGTATTCAAGCAGAGGGGGGAATGGTCATCTGCTGTGGATGCTGGAGAGGGGATTACTACATGGAGTATAGAGTTGGGTTTGACAGCCTTTAAAAAAGTCTTTTCCAACTCTATTCTAAAATTTTAAGATTCAGAGAATTTGGGAATTCTAGGATTCTAAGATTAGAGGATTCTTGATTCTATGGCTGCCCAGGAAAACAACCCAGCCATGTGGTAGCACCAGGGAGAGCCGCCTTCGCTTTCTTAGAAGGACTGAACTTTGTGCTTTTGTGTTTTTCACGACAGAGAATAAATCGCTGTTGTCAGATCCCCTTCACAGCAAGTTTCTGGGGGAAACACCAAGAGGGAAAAACCTCCCTTCAGCAGGAGAGGCTTAGAAAAGAAACCCACCAACACCCATCTATTCAGAGCTGCCTATAAAATCCCTGTGGGAACAAAGCCCCCCTTCCTCCTCCTTTCACTCCCACAATTAGCTCTCCTGGTTTCTGGGTATAAGAGGGGTGGGGGGTGTGTGGAGTTTCCTTAAAAGAGAGACAGAAACTGGTAACAAGGAAAGCCTTCTAGCAACTTGGGAGAGAGTGGGGAAGAAATAGGAATGGGATGAGAGAAGATGGATATATTGAACAGAACAGGAGTGAGGAGGGTAGCAAGAAGAAAGTAGTGGGAGAAAGGGGAAAAGAGATGATGAAGACAGAGAAAGAAAGATAAAAAAGAGACAGAGAAAGAAGGAAAGTGACTTGTCCAAAGTAAATCAGGTTTATCCTCCCAACTCCCAGACTGGTGTGCTTTATAAATTTGGCTCTGTTTCTCTAAGTCTCTTCACAAAACTAATCAATCAACAAACTTTTATTAAGTACTTACTACGTGCCAGGCACTGGGATACCAATATAAAAATGAGACAGTCCCTGTCCTCAAGGAAAGTCTGGAAGGGACCTTAGGAGATCATCTAGCCCAATCTCATTTTGAAGATGGAAAACTAATGGATTGGAAAATATGACAAAACATAAGCTCTTTATAAGAACAGGTAACACATACATATGTATATGTACACACACACACACACATACACACATACAATCTTTTTTGCCTTTACTTCCCCAGACTAGAGCTTAGCACATTACAGGGCAATTTCACGTGCTTAATAAATGCATGGGAAAAATGGCAAATGTTGGAGGGGCTGTGGAAAGATAGGTGCACTGATACATTGTTGATGGAGCTATTCCTTCTAGAAAAAACTGTACTAAAAAAGTCACTAAATGGAAAAAAAGCTTATTGACCCAGCAATACTATTACTAGGCATATACCTCAAGGATATCAAAGAGAGGGAAAGGAAAGGTCCCCTATAAACAAAAATATGTACATGAGCACTTTTTGCCGTAACAAGGAATGGGATGGGAAATGGATACTGGTCACCTGGGGAATGACTAGACTGACTGGCATTTGAATGTAATGGGGTAAGTGATTTCACCATATGAAACTATGACTATGAAGAATTCAGAAAAACTGGGAAGGACTTGTCTGAACTGATTCACAGTGAAGTAAGAAGAACCAGGAGGATAATTTACATGATGTCCACAATAATGTAAAGGAAAATAACACTGAAAGACTTCAAAATTCCAATCAGTTCAATGATCTACTTTGACAAAAGTAGACTGATTGTGAAGCACAGTCAGTAGGCTATAGGGACAGACTGAGGTACAGATATGGCCAATGTATCCATTTGTTTTGCAGGGTTGTACTTATTTGTTATAAGGAATGATATTTAATAATATTTGTTATATGATGTATTATAATACATGATATTATATAACATTTAAAGAATAGGAAAACTGGTTTGCCTTCTGAATTTAAGGTTTTAGGATTTGAAGTCTATGGTTGATAAGCAGTCATTCTGTAGCTATACTGTTGAAACTCATGCCTTCAAATAAATATGAATACATGCACATATATATGTATATATACATACATATACATATATATACACACACACACATGTGTACATATACACATAACACATACACACACCCCTTTCATAGTGGAGCTCCGGCTTTCTGTGGCTGAGTGAACCCAGGTGTGAGGGATTCCCCCCTAGGAAATATTTCTCAAGACACCTTACTCTCCTTCTATAATTACATTGCATGGGGGCCAGCATCAGCGCTGCCTTCATCTCCCTGGACTTACTAGACAGATTGAGACAGTTCCATAGGGATCCTATTCTATGAAAAACAACATCTCTGACAATCCCTGAGACTCCAATCTTTTCTAATTCCAGGCCAAACTCACTTTCAGAAAACATGAAATACCCAAATCCAGATGGTCCAAACAGTATGGCAGAAGGACCTCTCCCTTTACAGAAAGCCCTGTCAATTCAATCCACAGAATCCCAGGAGAGAAGGGCTCCTTATCAGGGATGCAATAGAAGATTCCTGCCCTAGGTGGGAGTTTGGACCAGACAACTTCTTGGGTCTCTTCAATTCTAAGAATTTAAGTACAGTACAGGGGGAAAGTACCAACCTGGCAGTCGGGAGACCTAGGTTCCAATAATGACTTGGAAGCTAAATTATTGTGTGACCTTGGGATAATGTCGGTGCTTCAGTTTCCTCATCTGTAAAAAATAGTATGGGGTCTCTGAGTTCTCTTTCAGTTCTGACATTCCATGGACACCAGTCCCTTCAAGCTCTAAGGTTCTATCATCCCATCTATGACTACAGATAGGTTCCAGTCCCTGCTCTGTCACTAACTAAAATGTATCATCTTGGGAAAGTCACTTTCCTTCCCTGGGGCAGGTTCCCTAAGGTTCTTTCTGGTTGGGGACATTTTGTGTTCTAAGGGCTCTTCCAACTCTGACATTTCAGAGTGACGTGAAGGGACTTTAAAGAAGCAGAGACAGAGTGACATTGTAAAAACAACATTAGACTGAGGATGATAAAAGGCAGATAAAACCTTTCCCTGCTTCCACCTGGGGGTTTCCCTACAGGGTGGGCATTGATCCTTGACAGTAAGGCCAAGGCATGGTTCTCTCTGTCTATCCTCAGTCCTTCCTTTCTCATTGAAGGCTGAGTCCTTCTTCCTACTGACTTGCCCCAGACATCAGCACTGTGTATATCAAAGCTGGCTTCCCCAAAGGGCCCTCACTCGGAGCAATACCCTCTTTCTCCCTCTCCAACTCTGCCACTGCTACTTAAAGGATCCAAATTAATTTTCATGAGTGCTGTAACAGAATTAAACCCTTGGGCTGAGCCCTGGAAGGCCAAGAAGCTCCATGCAGGTGGATTGGTTGGTGTTTTATAGCTTGGTCGTGGCAACTGAAATGTTGGTCTGATAACGGCGACCCTGACACAGCCATAACTCTGGGGG